ATCTTTAGGAAGATAAAAGGTGGTGTTGTCTGGGAAACTGAAATGTTCATTTGAAAACAGCAGAGAAAGTTGCAATGGTATTCTACTTTCTGTGAACCATAAATTCAAAGAATGCAGGAACACTTTTCAAGTGCCATCCTATATGCCATCCTCACTGCTGAGCTGAAGTGATAGACACCCATCCCTCAGTCAGCAGAAAGCTATGTAAGTATGAAATTTGCTGTCCCCATTGCTGATCTATCCTGTCTCTATTACTTCTGTTCTAGTCACTGCCAATAGCTGACTTCCTCCCAGGCTAATGGGAAAGAAGGCCCAACAGAATTTATACCCCATGAGGTTGCCCTTGGACAGTGTCAGAATAAAGGGGAAAACTCTAAGTCAGTCCTATGCAGTTCATCTAAGGAGGACTGAAGCCTTCTTACAAACGGGCAGGAGACCAGATGAAGGCAATGTCATGGGGACATACTGCATAGAAAAAATGATGGTGCCAGGCCATGGTTGTGTGTTGGTAATTATAAGTGGAGAAAGGCCTTTTGTGCATTTCCTTAGGAGTAAACTTAATCCAGCCAGACGTCTTTTTGGCTAGATGCAAAGTAAAATTGGATGGCAAAAAAATCCACTCAGTTATTTAGAAGGATCTACTTATTTCATTTGTACAAACCAGAGTTCCTTTGTCATGCACAGCTTCCTATCTTTTTGTCTTTAACAGGGATTTCTTATTTAGATATTAGCTGAGTGTTGGACTGCAACTCCAATATGGTCTTGTAGGATGGGGTAACGGGATTATAACTGGGAACCACTGCAACTGGAGAGCAATAGGAAAAGGCACATTTTTTCCCTGATCAGCTGGCAATCTTACTGCAAAAAAGTAAACACTATTGTTTTCTTTTCCACAGTTTGTGACCCACATGCCACAGTTAGTGACTTGCATGTCATGTGACAGAAGGTGACTGAGGACAGAAACATTTTAAAATTAATACTGACTTTTTAATTTATCACATACAAAAACATCATCAACAAAAAAAGCCTTAAGTTTAGAAATATGTCCTGAGGTGAAGGTTTAGATATTTCCTAGGCTGCAATTGCCTCACATGATCATGTTCAAGTATATTTCAGTTCAGATGATGGCTTATATCAATAGTAACATGAATAGCTTTTGAAAAGTATTTATATTAATACCCAAAAATTGTACGGCAACGTGTGAAAAAAAGTCCCTTCCAACTAACCAT